TTCTTGGGTCACCTGGGGCTCTGGGCAGGGAGCATTCTGTGACCCGAGCTGATCCAGCAGTCCTCATCCAGAGCGGGATGTCCCCATGGCAGAGGGAAAAGAGCGATGGTGAAATTACAAGGTAACTCCTAAGCTTCCACCCAGAATCAGCCTGATACGTCTGCTGACGTTTTCTTTTGGCCAAAGCACATCACTTGGCCAAGGCTGCTACCAGCAGGGCCGGGCCCTGTAAGCAGGCCTGCAGGGAGAACAGTGAATATTTTGGTATCAGTGGGCGTTTCTCCATTAGCCCCAAGCCCATGATCCTCCACGGCACTGGACAACCTCAATCCTGCTGTGTGACCTTGGGCAAGTCACTTTGCCTCTCTGGGCCTAGATCTATTGAGCATTCCCTCTGTGCCTTAATCACAGGAGCCAGCACTCACTGGGTCCTTTCTCCTTCAGGCCCGTGTTATCTCATTAAGCCTCACAATTGCACCACCAAGTAGGGCATATTGTTATCCCCATTTTACAGATGAGGAAAGTAAAGCTCGTTTTCCCCAGATCACGGAGAAAGAATTTTGCCGAGCTGGGATTTGAATCCACACAGGCCTAATCTCTTGGGCCCAGAATTTAGTCACCAGGGTTATCAATTTGTCACACTGATTGACAGGCCCCCCTGTGGGGTTCAGTTATTTTAGGTGAAGTCGGCTGAGGGGCCATGAACCATCTCCCAGCCAGCCTGGGCCCAGCTGTGAGCTCTGCAGCTGATGTTCCTTTCTGACACGATGGCCTCAGGAACTCTGTCCTCCGTCCTCAACTGGGACTGCCCATGGGTGGCGATGGGACCTCCATCTGGCCTCTGCCGGCTGACATACCTGCTCCTGTCCCCGGGAGGTATTCAGTGACATTCCTCCATCAGAGAAGGTTTTGTTTACTGCTTGGGAAGCAGCAAAAGAATCTGAATCATTAAATCTTCCAAAAGATACTGAAAAATTGCTATCTGTGGCTTTGGCTGGCTTCACATCTTGTCCCATAAAACAGCCTCTATTTTCTCTCCTGCCCTTTATAAAACACCCACACACACACTCAACAAAGACCCCTGCATCTGGATGAAATTAATTTCCAGATCACATTTTTAAATTAGATTAAAAAGACCAGAATGCTTCCAGCCAGGCAACCATGGAGAGGGCAGGCCCTGGAAGGCAGGGAACTGCCTGGAGACGGCGTCCACGGCCCAGGCTTCCCAGCCGGCTGCCACCTCCAGGGTGGCCTCCCTTGCAGGGCAGAGGGAGTCAGCAAAGGTGGCACCTCCTGCGGGTGTGCCCCTCCCTTCTCTGAGCTGGGGGGGCGGGGTGCGGTGAGATCATGGCGGTGAGATCATGGGGGGTGCTACCACCCCCCAAACCCGATGCCAGTTAGAGCAAGCTGGCTGCAGAGGCCTGCAGGCTCAGCAGTGCCCATGCACACCATGATGATGACGCACTGAGATGCAGGACGCTATTGCTGGGGAGGTTGGGACCTGTCCGCAGTTCCTGGTAGAGGGTGAGCCAGGACAAGTGGGCCAAGCAGATGTGGGGAACTCCTGCCCGGACATCTATCTTAGACTTGTCCCCAAAATTCCCCAAAATTCAGCACACTCTGAGGTGAGATAGGCCTGCGTGTAGTGCAGCCACTCCCCAGCTGTGTAGCCTCTGGCCACTGACTTTGCCTCTCTGGGCCCCATTTCCTCATCTGTAAATGAGGGATACTGGCTCCTAACTCACAGTATTGTTGCAAAGATTCGGAAACACAAGGCACGGGCACGTTGTGATTGCTATAGCATCACTATTAGCTACTAGAGAATTTGCATAGAGAAGGTAAAGTCTAGTGATCAAGGCTGCCACTGACACCAGCTCGCTATAAGCACTCAATATATATTAGCTTAAGGAACATTGAAAGCAGCCCCAGGCCGAGCATTGAACTCTGATCCTGGCCCCAAGAAGCTCTGATCTCGAGGTGCAGACAGTCCTACAAGACAGCAAAGACAACACAATGTGTTCTGGGAAGCCCGGTGGCTTTGGGAGCCCAGGGGAGGGATTGGACTTAACACAGGACATCAAGGAAGGCTTCCTGGAGGAGGTGATAGCTGCGCTCAGACATGGGGGTGGGGCCAGCTGCCTGCACAGTAGGTAGGGAGCAAGTTCCAGGCAGGGGAGCAGCATAGGCAAAAGCCTGGAGGCTGCTTGTCTGCCCAGAAAACATGGGTGGTGCCTGCCTTAGGCGGTATGGTGCAGCGGTTAGGAATGTGTGCTGTGGAGCTGGATTGCTGGGTTCAAATCCTGGCTCTGCCACTTAATGGCTGTGAGCTCTCAGACAGACTATGAATTCCTCTGAGCCTCAGTTTCCATCTCTGGGGTGGGAATGATAGCAGTAATGCTTCCTTCCATGTGTGTTTTGAGTGTCGTCGGATGAGCTAAGATGTGTAAAGCATTTAGAACAATGCCCACCGGCTGCTGCTTTGGTTGCTGTTATTATTTCTTAGTCCTGATGGTTTAGGCCCAGCCGTGTCCAGCTCCCACCCCCAGCTGGCGTCGTGGACTCCCTCTCTCAGTGTGGCAGCATCTGCCAACAGCTGCCCCTGCCTCTCCCGCCCCACCGGCTCCCTCAGCACCCGCGGCTGCCGCCATGGGAACCACCAAGGAAAAGCCTGATGCTTAGAGCAACCTTGTGGGGGCAATAGAGGAGGTTGGAGAGGGGGTGCTGGGGAAAGCAGGGGTGCCAGGGGCCGAAGCCAGGCCCTCCTCCCCTGTCCACGTGGACTCCTGCCTCGGCATGCCAGACAGGGCTGCTGGCCTCTGTTCCCTGGCAGTCATTCACACCTGGATATCTCCAAGTGAAGCTAGCTTCCCCTTGAAATGAGGCAGCTCAGGGTGCTGGGTGCGGGGTGGGGGGGACTAGCAGGCAGTCATTCACACCTTAGCATGAACAAGTCCCTGGGACGGCCATGGGCCTCATGGAGGTGGTGGCTGGAGATGAAGCTGCAGAGGGATCCAAGGTGCCGTGATGCGGAATTGTTGGGTTACTCATTCCTCAAGCAGATACTAAGTCCTAAGCACCTGCCAGTGCGTGCCTGCTCGCGGGACACACAGAACCTCCCCTCGAGGAGCCCCCAGCCAGTGTGGGGAAGGAAGGCGTTCCGGGTAGGGGGCACGTGTGGGCAAAAGTCAGCCTCCCCACCCAGCCTGGGCCCAGCCCTGGTAGGGGGCTGGAGGACCCAGAGGGGAGCGGGCCCATCTCACTGCAGAGGCCAAGGCTGAGCAGGTGAACCCAGCTGGGAAGATCCAGAGTCTGGAAACCGAGACCGGGAGGAGCTTCACATCATCACCTCCAGACCCAGAGACACACGGCAAAGTGAGGCCAAGGAGAAACCAGAGCCAGGGCCTCCTGGCTCCAGACCCATCCCCGCAGCTTCAGACAGCTTCCCCCTTCTTGAGGGGACCCAGGACACCCAGGAACCTGTCTGCTGAGAGCCAGGGCGGGTCCCCCCCAGGGGGCAGCGAGGCTGGACACTGGCTTTGCCTCATCTTTGCCGCCCGCCAGCTCACACCCACCTGAACAGATGGCCGCAGCAGGAAGCCGGTGGAGGGGGCATTTGAGTGACTAATAAATCGGTCCCTTAAACAGCCGCAGTCCTGGGCAAGCCCCGTGTGGAGCTCCACTGGCCCAGCTGCAGTGGTGAGGCCAGGAAATGGCCCTCCCCGGGCCCCCAGGAGAGACTCAGACCCTGGCCTGGGCGGGAGGATATACCCAGACCCTGCCAGCATGGCCCCGGCTGGTGGGGGGAGGGTTTGAGGGGTACTCAGGCCAGAGGAAGGGCCCAGCAGTTTCCAAGAGGCAGTGGGAGTCAGGCTGGGGAGGAAGGAAGGGGGTGGAGGGACAGAAAGCTGTGGCTGGGCAGAAGGTGCAGCCTGTGCAAAGGCCTAGTGTCCCAGTGAGCTCCTCAGGGGGCAGCCAGCTTCCCTTCACTAAGGGGCATTTGCAGCTCAAAACCAACCCCATCATCTCTGCTTCTGGAGGGCAGACTGGCCCTCAGCGTGGAAATGCTGCGTGAAGGAATAAAAGAACCGAAGTCAGGGGGCCCTGAGACCCCCAGCCGTGCAGTCTGGGGGTGCCTGGTGGAGCGTGCTGTCAGGGAGCGGCCTGAGGGTGGGTGTGAGAGGCATGTGGCTGGTGGAGCAGATGCACCAGTGTCTGGTTCGTGGGGAGTGGGGAGGGCAGCTGAGCTGATGCCCTTGACTCCTGGGCTTCCGAGGGAGGGAGCGCGATGGCGCAGGCTGGAAGGGAGCCGGCCCCAGGTGGGACACGCCCTGGCTGAGTCCCACGCAGAACTTGGGGGTGTGACGTGGCCCAGTGTGGATGCCGAGGGGCAGGGACTTGGGTCAGTTTGTCCTCAGACGACAGACTTCCTGCATTTGCCCTGGGTCCAGCAAGATGGGGAGGGGAGGGGATGATGAGAGATGCAAGAGAGCCTCCTAGGTGGCGGGGGCGGCATAAGCCAAGGCCAGGAGGGGGGGCAAGCAGGAGGTACCCGCGGGAGACAGCTGGCAGGTCCGGGAGTAGTGCCCATGTCGGGGGGGGGGGGGGGGGGGGGGGG